TAAAGGAAAGAGACTGAATATTACTGAAGACAGTCTTTCATGGTGGAAAGTAAACCCAAAATATTTTGTACTTTATGAAGTAATAGGTCAGTATTTATCAGCCCTTCCATCAAGTGTTCCCAGTGAACGCCTTTTTAGTGGTGCTGGTTTACGATGAGCTACGAACCCATTTATCAGGAGAAACAGTATCTAAATTATTATTTATTAAATTCAATTTACCAGAAATAAATTTTAAATATTAATATTTAATTATTTTAGCACTAATTTTAACAAAAAAATAAAAAATAAAAACTTTTCACATAAAAGTAATTTGTTCTTATCTTCAAAAAATACGAAGGTTTTGTTTTAATTGTAAAACGTTAATAATAATTTTTCCCAAAAAGAATATTTTTGTTATGTTGTTACTTATTTCTCCTCCTCTTCCTCATCCTCTTCCTCTTGCTCATAGCAGATCCTCATCCTCATCCGCATCCTCAATTTCTTTTCTAAAAAAATCCTCATCCTCATCCTCTTCCTTATAACTACATCCTCATCAACCCTACTATGAACGTCTACCGCAGCCGTGATTTCAGGTTCGTTGCCGACTTTTCAAAATGTGGGCCCCGGTAAGCTCGGTTACACAATCTAAACAAAAAGTACACTTCCTCTTCAGTCAGGTCTTAATCGTGTAATATTCAGCTCGCTTCTAAACGTGTCGCGTGACGACATGTCCTCTTTTTCATGAGGACCGCAGATTAGGCTTTTAAAGATTTGGGAGGAAAGCCTAATTGGATTCCCCACGCATCCTTAAAATTACAAGCTTACCCGACGAACTAACCGCTGGATTCTGAGCAATCAACGTAGCGTTATGGAAACGTCTATATGTAGGCATATCTATTACAAGGGTATAGCCGAATGCATTCCTCAAGCCTATGATAATTTTTTGTATTAACCCGATTATACATTACTAAATTATCAAGTGCTCAGCGGTGAAGGAAAACATCGTGAGGAAACTTGCATATTTTTGAAATAATAACAAAAAAATATTTCGAAGATATGTGAAGTCCGTCAATCCGCAGTGGGGCCGCGTGGTGGGCTATGCCCTGATACGCTCTGTACTGAGGAGGCCTTTGCCCATCAGTGGGCTTTACTTTTACTTTTTTACATTACTAAATGTAAAAAAGTACAAGTAAAGAAATAAGTCATGTTACACAAACTCACTAAATATCTTTTGGTTCATTACATGCGTTGTTTTTTAACACGCATTTATTATTTTTTGTATATCACTGATAAACAAAGAAAACGAAACGCGAATATATAATACTTCCGGTTGTGCCTCCCCATTCATGAGACAGCAGAAGCGCGCCTACCACAATGAAAACCATTTTTGGAAATATATTACACAAGAATAATTACAAGAAATCATTACGACACGTATGGCACGACTCGCATACGATGAACAATGAACAAAGTACAAAGTTCTATTTTTTTATATTGATTTTTTTTTTGTTTAGAAAAAAAAAATGTCGCAGTTGTCACAAACTTCAGTAAATGACGTTAAACCTGATTCATAATTCATTTACGGGCGTCATCGGTAGTGATGTAAACCTATCACGCGCCACGCGCTCGCTCAATTTAATTCATTATCAGTTTTCGGATCGATTGAGTTACAGTCACGCACAATACACCCGTCATAGTTGTATTACTTTTTAAAAGAATCGTATTTCATTGATTAATTGACATGTTTAATACATCTGATGACAGATGTACATCGTTCGGGTAACAGCGAATCAGACTTCATTTGATAATTATGTTAGATGTCCTATAAATTAGGCGGCATCTTGAACACATCATTATTCAAATGCTTTTTTTTTCCTGAAATTCATTACCAATTCTAAATTCAAAACTGAAATCAAATAATGAGCGATGAATAAGGGATGACTCCGTGGCGCAGATGCCAAGGTATTGGCTTCGGCGTCGGGGGTCGTGGGTTCGATTCCCACACGGGAAAACTCTTCTTTTTGACCCACGGATAGTCGTTTCGCATCTGGGTGTTTGTCCACATGAAATGTATGTTTGTTAAACGGGAAACCCTTAAAACACGGGATAATGTATGGGCAATGTTTTTAAAAATAAAAATTCAGACCCAAAGCAACAGATACCGCGGCACACAAAAGCAACCATTTGTCCGTCAGTTGCGCCTAAATAATGTTTCACTGCAATAATGCAAACCAACAGAGCAGACGTCAGAATAAACCTAAAGTAATCTAACATAATACTCATAGTCATCCTCCTAATTTTCTGTCTACAGATATCCCGTCGGAGTTAAAACACAGTTATATTAGTTTAATAAAACCGGCCAAGTGCGAGTCGGAATCGCGTACGATGCGTAAAAACGGCAATTTTTAGTGTTTGTTGTTATGGCGGTAACAGAAATACATCATCTGTGAAATTTTCAACTGTCTTACTATCACGGTTCATGAGATACAGCCTGGTGACAGACGGACAGACAGAAAGAGGTGTCTTAGTAATGGGGTTCCGTTTTATCCTTTGGGTACGGAACCCTAAAAATTATGGAAGTAAAATTTTTACGAGACACGAGCACACCCACGGCTAAAAAGCGACATGAAGTTGATTGCAGAGGCGACCAACTTTACGGTATCTCCATGGCAAAAAATACCAACTTTTTGACATCACTACATAGTATAAAACAAAGTCGTCCTGCTGTCCGTCTGTCCCTATGTATGCTTAGATATTTAAAACTACGCAACGGATCTTGATGCGGTTTTTTTACTAGATAGAGTGATTCAAGAGGAAGGTTTATATGTATAATACATTGTACCCGTGCGAAGCCGGGGCGGGTCGAAAGTTTACTATAAATCCCAAGTTGTTTACCGTTATCGATTGCATTTGATGTTTTTTTAAATAAAAAATAATATTTGCACAGGGCATGAAATGTTTAGTTATTTTAATTTTTTGCTACGCTTAAGAAGTATAATTACGTATACGTAAGTATAACTACTATATTCTTACGTGCGTATATAAGTACACACACATTTTTTTTGTTTTGTAAGAAGCAGAGCGAGAAGAGAGGACGTTACGTTTTTGCGCTCAATTTACTTCTAGCAATACAATGCCCACGCTAGACCGCCTCGTGCGAACCTTTTAAAGTAATTGTGGACCGAAATATCGTTTAGACGCAAAACAACACACATCTTTTCATAAAATGGGTGCGAAGCGACTGACATTTTCTTTAATATATTTTCGTAACAAATGATAGCGGGTTTTTTGAAGATCCGTATATCTGCTGGATGAGATTATGTACAATTTATTTATGTATTACAAAATCTGAAAATTTTATGTTTATAATAGTGCCTTCGCATCTGTCTGCTTTTGTTTTTGAAGTTTTTTTTCTTTCGGCGCGCTTGGAAAAATTATGAAAGTATAATTTTATGATGCGCGCACACCCACCCTCCAAAAGCGACCTCATGCTTAGAAACCAATTGGATCTTGGCAACCAATAACAACGTTTTAACATTTACCAATAATTCCAAGTTAAAATATATCGTATATATATATAATAAATCGTTATAAATTGCATTTAATGTGTTTATGCTAAAGAAGTATAAATTCAAGAAGAAGAAACTTGCCGAGAACACAAAAATAATCGATAAACCACCCAAATAATAGTCCTGTAGGATAATCGAAACCAATTCCAAGACGAAGAGCAGAACTGCTGAATTCAATCAATATCTTGACATTTACTTATTGATTAATTCGAAATTTTGAAACTGTCCAACTTTTTTTATGTGAAAAGTTGCCAAGCGAGCGGTTCACCCGATGTTATACCTCCGCCCATGGACATCTGTTACACCCGCGGGTTGCAGATGTGTTGACAAACTTTTGGAAATTGGGCTCCGGCCGCCTCACCTACCAGACGAAACGTGAAAGTGTTATACTTCCACTTTACACCGGTCTTCTGTGAGGTCGTGGTACTTACCCGGACGAGCCTGCCCATTCGTGCATCAGCTGAGGCTGCTGCGTGGCCCTACCACAGTTAAAACTCCAAGAACTTACCTGAAACAAAGTAAATAAATATTCAGCATTATTCCAATTAATACCAATAAATTATTAGATAACATTTCCTACCGATGGGGAACCACATCCTTTCATTGCTTTGTTTTTAATTGGGTTCAAGAATTAAAGATTCAAGTTAAATAGACAATCCATATTCCATAGAAACTCATTTAAAAGCAAAGTAAAACTGGAAAAAACCTGTCACCATTTTAACATATCGAGTTCGGGTTATCCGTAAAAGTAGTAAACAAGTTTCAGAAAGAGAAAACTTTCGTGTGTACTGAAGTCGTATCTTGTAATCAAAAGATGGGCCACACAAGTACAGCGACAGTTATTACAAACTAAGTCATTCATTTTCATAAATATATAATGCATCAGACATAAGCTAAAGTTATCTTGGAAACGATTCGCAGTCGCCCGACAATGGACAAGGTATTCTTGAAAAACGAGTTTACGTAGTAACCTGTAGTCAATGATATGTAATAATATATAACTATATAAATATATAAATAAATATAAAAAAATAAATATATGGTAAACTATATAACTATATAAAGATATAACATCTTATTTGTATATAATATCATTGCCTGTAATACTCGTACTCGGTCGGTCCTAGACATAAAACGCCGCCAGCAAACCCATCGAAGATTAGGCGATATCACAAATCTTTAAATTTTTTCTATAGGTACATATCCATATCCAGCCACATACAAATAAATTACTGCAGTGAGGGCGCTCTGGTTTAGTTAACGGTTGGTTACCTTGCAAACAGCCACTGCGCGATGTGCTCTAGGTTCGATCCACACACGAAATAAAAATAATTATTTTCAATAAACATCTATTCTTAGTCCGTTAGTACTGTTACCGCGATTTCCTTGTTTGCGTAACAGGAATTTCCCAATATTTTTGAATTAATGTTGCTCAGAAAACGTGAAATTTCAATGAGCAGGGAGGCGCTACGCACGTCGGTGAAATACGGAGAAATAACGGCGGGCGTGATACATCGATCAGTCAATGTCGTCCCCTCGCTAGCTTCCACAGCCGGCGCCGCGCGTCCAATCCATCAACGCTTGACACCTCTACCGGATGAAAACGCAAGTTTTGCAATGACATCGTCGCTCCCGTCGAGTGTCGAAGTTCGTCGACAAGTTGGCAATCATTCACTGCGTTGGCTCAACTCTATCAAGATCTTTTTTCCCCATGAAGCACTTTTATTACGTACGAAGACCAAGAGGAGGAGAGAGACCAAACGAATATGAAAGTTTTTCTAAAGCAATTCTTTACTCTAGACATATTTTGCAGAGTACATTAATTAATTTAAATGATTCCTTAGTTATTTACCTAAATTGTTTTGAATAAAATATAAAATAATTTGTGAAAAAAAGTATCAACAACAATTCCATATGCTCACTGACATGTTACGATAAAATTAATATTTGACCTGTAACTTCTTTTTTATGTGAAAAGTTGTCAAACGAGCAGGCGGTCCACCTGACGATAAAGATCTGAGGCTCTTGCATATGCGGTGATAACCTTTAAAAAAGTCTGCACCGGTTACCTCACTCGCCAGTTGACTATTTTCTTATATAGATGTGACCTAAGTATGAAACTATTACTAACACAGGAAAAATTAAAGCTATTATAGTATTTTTCCCTCTGTATAGAGGAGGCCTTTGCCCAGCAGTGGGACATGTATAGGCTCTTACTTCTCACTTTACTTTTTTTTTATAGTATTTTTCATAAAATTTTAGATAATGATTCATTAATCAATATCGAACACTTGACGAGGACCAAATCTCGAAGTGGTGCTCCACCGGGAAAAGCGTGCCTCATTATGACGAAGTAATAAATTAAATTCCTCGCGTTTCAATTAAATATGTTAACGATGTTGGGACACTCGAAAACATCCGGTTAATGATTGTTGAATTGTATTGTCAATGGATGCGGGTGGCTCAGGATCGTGCTTATTGGCAGTTTGTGGGTACAAATGGTACGGAACTCTAAAAATAAGCACAGCGACGGAATTTATCTCGGTTCTTATACAGTAGCTTCATTTCGCAACTCCTAGTAAAATAAATGAAACGAGAATTACAAAAAGGGAGGAGAAAAATAGTTCAGGCCAAGCATTCCCCATTTCCTAATTTCCATTTTCCATCGGCGGTTCGTTCCGTATTTCTTTATAGGAAAAACAATTTATATTAACAAAGCGTCTGTGTTACTAAGGGAAATTCTATCTTGTACACTCGGCAAAGCGGCTTTTGCTTCGGGCGCTTTAGCTCACAATTTCCGCGGAACCACTTAACTCACTGTTTAGTCTTTTGATTGCTTCATTTGCACGAGCGAATTAGTAACAAATCAAACAGATTTAATTATATTTTTAGTGCTAGTCCTCGAACTTAAGACTTAAGATGTTATTTAAAAATATGCAGATGAAACATCGTAAAATTTTTCGCCGTTGCCAGAATTTTAACCTGTGCCTTCAGGATTACGTGTCCAGGTACTCTAGCCACTAAACTATGCGATCGACAATCTCAACAAGCGAAATTATTAACGTTTGTCTCTACTGTGATTTCTATTGTATTTGTAGCAATGCTAGGACCAATCCTAGGGATGATTTTATTTAATTTGCAAAAAAAATTAAATAAAATCATCCCTAGATTCACATTGCACGGATCGTAAAAGTAAAAAACCGGCCAAGTGCGAGTCGGACTCGCGCGCGAACTCGGTTCCGTACCATTATCATGTTTAATGACAAAAAATCATGTATCTTTGTATGGGCCCCACTTAAGTATTTTTTATTATGTTTTTTAGTATTTTTTTATATGGTTTATAGCGGCAACAAAAATACATCTGTCTGAAAATTTGAACTGTCTAACTAGCACGGTTCACGAGATAAAGCCTGGTGACAGAAGGACGGATGGACGGATAGACAAACAGACAGCGGTGTCTTCTTAATAGAGTCCCGTTTTACCCTTAAGGTATGGAATCCTAAAAACGACCGGAGTCTTAAGACCTTCGTTCATTCAATCGTATTTACAATGTTTCTAACGAATAATCGAAACGTCTAGAAGACGGTTCTTTTCTTATTGTTTTTTCCGCCAGTAAATCAATTAATTAGAAAGAATTTTCATCTTGTCTGCCACTCGTATTGCCTCATCGCAATCGATTTGGATTTTGAATACACGACTTCGGACCATGAGTCCGGCATACCCGGCCACTGCGCTATCACCGCGTTGCAATTGCATCACGGGTGCACTTGGGACGGTGCAGGTGTGTCGGTTCAAACACTCGAACTCACCTCTTAACACAAATCGGGTAAACAAAGTTTTGTTTGCCGTTTCGACAGGCGCTATTATCGAACGAAGCCGAGGCTCTCACAACAATAAGAGACGGACAATGGGTAGACAGATGCGTGCACAATGGTGTTTGGTTAGTGCTCACACCTGGCGGTCACACGTGGCTACTTCTAAGGCGAAATGCGTTGGTGTAACGCCAGGTGTTGCTGAGCGTCCCATAAGCAAACGACATTGTCTTCATCATTGTATTTCATGTTCGCTTTCAGGCTCCTAGACTATTCGCAGCATCAACGATCTTAAGAGAAATCACCCTACCCTATAAGGAAAAGCTTTCTGAAGTAAGAAAAAATTATGAGAGAAAAATATTTACGCTGCGCGCGCACACCGTCCCTCAAGAAAGCGACATGATGCTTGGTAACCAATATGATCTTGGCAATCAATAACAACCTTTTAACATTTACCAATAATTCCAAGTACCGATAATAATAATAATTTAAAGAAACCAAAAATAATAATAATAAACTTCTCCGTGCATACATAAGTATACACATACTTTTTTTATATTCACGTTCTATGTTTTGGAGTAAGGAGACCGGACTTAATGCCTTTTGGCAACTCGAATGCCGAACGAAATATTTGCCTAACATGCAAATTGTTATTAATATTGTTACTGACGTAGTCTGTCGGCTGACAGAGTCAATAGGCTCTCTTTCGTTGTTGAAGTAGTAATTGATTATAGTTGGACCTTTATCATTTTCGTTCGCAATTTTTACAAAGATAAGGATGTAAGAAACAACTTTTAATTTAACTAACAACTATAAGTATAATTGTTCAAATCCAAATCTCTTTTTGTTTTCAAATTCAGAATATCTTTATTAAATTGACGCTTGCGCGTTCTTATGAAACGTCGAAGTTTACATAAATAATTAATACTTATGTAAGATAGTTCCCACCGGTTCGGAAGGCAGTTTCTGTTGAGAAGAGACCGGCTTGTTTTTCACTAACGAAGGATTTTCGGAGGTGGATATGATTTAGCACCCACATCACAATTCATATTGACTGTGCTTATTTGTCTAATAATAAAACTAATGCCTAGCCAAACCAAAAACAGCCGCTTCGTTTAATTTGATGCCAACATACAATGTGCTGATTTAGGGACGCCACCGTTCGGAAGATCGACTCGAATAAAAGAAAAAAATCGAACAGATCCTAACCGAGCCCCATGTACGACGATTCCGCAATGAGGAATGAGCGATGTCGAACAAAGATTGATCCGTTCAACATCTGGGGGTGTTCCGCGGCGTCAGGTTTCCTTGATCGATGGACTCCGAACGGGGCCTGTGACGACATCCATCCCAAGGGATCTGACTATTCGTTCTTCGCTCCCAGCTTCTGTCCCTTTTTTTTTTCAAAGTCAATGTTAAAATTATTATTATTTATAGTAATAACCTATACATTACAGATGCAGGCTGCTTAGAGCTACATGCTCTAATTAAAAACTCAATTGTGCGAAGCTGTATCACTGAGTAACTCTAATTTTTATTGTGGTGCAGCCACGCAACAGCCATCGCTGTTGCACGAATGGGCAGGTCGGTCCGGGGAAGTACCGCGACCTGACAGTAGGCATGTGGGTGTGAAACATTCGCGGCACGAGTCTTGCACTGACTGATAACTTGAATACTAATGGGGAGAGTTAAATGATATCTTTATATTTATACTGTCAAAGTGTGTGTTTAATTAATGAGGCAATTTAATTGTCATCATCATTAGTATATCACCACGATACCGATAAATACACTGAACGCCCCTCGTGTCATTGGGTGACACTGCCCAGTTTCATAACAACAAATAATTAAATGGAGGTCTTGACCATTTCAGTACTCTGTAGTATTGTAAGCACACAGTAGAAGATTGGGAAAAGGCCTTGGTAGAGGACAGTACCCAACACTATACGTCGTTAATTAGAGACACAATAAGAGTAGAGTAGTAGAAGAAGTCAAAGAAAGAGACACTACTTTGTTAAATTCAAGTGTGGTTATTATGCATGAAAAGAACGCGTACTGAAGAGTTACTCCGTTAAATATTAAACCTTCAATATTTCTCAACATTATCTACCCCCGCGTAAATGTCTCACGTTTCTCATCAATGTAGTGGAAATTTACATTGAGTTTTCAGACGATGCCGCCTCGAGACCTTTCTAGGGCGAAATCGACATTAGCATATTGAGATTAACAGTTTCATTCCCTTATAAATGGACTACTAAACTTCATTATTCACGTAAACAGACAACTCTATTGATTTTATCAATGAGTAATATGCAATTTTATGGGCAATTTAAGCGTCCTCGGAAAGTAATTATTTACCATTTTCAAATCGTAACCCCTGAATATTGTTAAAACATTATCACGTTCCTTAAAAAGGTAAAAGACAAACAAATTGTAAAAGAACTACCGTTTAGATCTGGCATGATCGTTTATGTTGTCATAAATGACGGGATTTACACACCTATTCCGTCGACAAAAAAAAAAAAAAAATTTACAATATTAAAAAACAAATTAAAAAAAATACATCGCTATTTACGGAAGCATGACCGTTTTTCCATCTCCTAATTCTCAATGCTCTCCTTACCTTTGATTACTTTATATCAGTACGTCAGTCGTCACATCATAATCAACTCCTTTCGGAAGACCAATTCATGTTTTTCTGCCTTTTTTTTATAGAGAAATGGGGGCAAACAAGCAGGAGGCTTAAAAAAGCCAAATTACCGCTGCCCATGAACACCTGCAACATCCGAGGGCTTACAAATGCGTTGCCGGCCTTTTAGAAAAGAATATGCTCTCTTCTTGAAGGTTCCCTGGTCGTAACGGTTCGGAAAGACTATTTTATATATCATCATTGCTTATCATGCCCATGCCAACCAATTGTTAATCACTTAATAGTTTTTTTACCTATGATTTTTCCTTAACTATTAAATATAATAATTTCTTGTATTTACGCGATTATAAATGAAACTAATTTTTACGGATTTATCGCGTTTATTTTTAATTTTAATTCCCGACGTTTCGAACCCTTTACAGCGTTCATGGTCACGGGACAGTCTGTCCCGTGACCACGATGTCGGGCATTAAAATTAAAAATAAACGCGATAAATCCGTAAAAATTAGTGTCATTTATTAAAGATATCTCATACTCGTGTACGGCATACGACTGACTGTCACTTTATCTATTAACTCTAATAAATTATTCATATAGATTAAATGTTTGAAATTTATGATGAACAAAGACGTACCTTGTGTACATTTAGACTTTGACTTCATAAATAAACCGGATCATTGCCTAGCATTAGACCACTATATCAGTAAGCCAGAGACTACAATATCATATACTTCAAATTAGACGTTAAAGATTTTCTGTGTCAGCTATAGTGAACATATGTTGATAAGTGATTTGATAGCAGCAATAGTAAAACAAAGATCAGAATTGATCTAAGCTAAAAGAATTTCATAGGTATTTTTAGTAAAACAACTTTCAAAACATTATCATACACAAACGACGTATAAAAACAAAGGTCAGACCACCCTTGCGATCTTACGGTATTTTTATCGAAACTCCTTTCGACTAAACATACAATTCCCATACAGGCAACGTATAGACGAAACAAAGGTCAAAAGATGTGAGATGAGATAGAACAACGTGAATCATACGAGCATATCGGATTGGAGACCTTAATGAATTGACAGCGGCGCGTCGACCCATCTCAACGTGGCTCGTGCCCTGGACACCCCGACTCGATTTCGTATCGCGATCACGAAATCGATGGCGCCCTCGGACAGTTTTACATATTGATAGGCTTTTTATCCCTTCAATTTGTGACGGCGACGACTCCGCGTGAAGGGATACAAATATCAAAACGACCTCTGCTCTGTCAAGAGCAATTTGCAGTCGGAAACGGTATGCTCCACTCTATTCGGTAATTGTAATTCCATCAGCGTACGGAAAGACATCCGTCCAAATAGAACGTGGGTGTATTTAAAACAAGAGTTTAGTGAGGTAGCGTGGTTACCATTTCCGGCTGCAGCTCCACTTACCATCAGGTGCGGTAGCAGTCAAGCACTGGGGCAGTCCCTTATAAAAAGTTGTCAGTGTAAGACCTTATGTCTTGTCGTGAAAAACACTAATTATCTTCGTCATAACTGTCATAGGACCATGCAACAGTGATTACTGTTGCACGAATGGGCAGGTCCATCCGGGTAAATACCAATACCTCACAGAAGACGAGCGTAAAGTAGAAATGTTAAACTTCTGCATTTCGACCGGTGAGTGAGGTAGCCGGGGCCCACTTTATTTAAAGGTGGCAACGCATCTGCAACCCTACAGGTGTTGCTAATTTCCATGGGCGGCGGTTATCACTTAACAGCAGGTGAACCGCCAACTAGTTTGCCACTTTCACGCATTAAAAAAAAACCATCATGTGCATATACGCCTGAGTAGTAGACATGAAATAATATAGGCCGCAGAAAAAGCGTAAAAGCGAGAGGTAGAAGATAATTAAAAGCAAGACAATGTCGATTGGCATTTATCAGGCGCTGTCTTCATTAGGGAGTCCATTAGTCAGGCCGAGGTGGTAGCAGTCGCATTTATTTTCAGTCTCCCGGGACAAGGAGCGGGGAGTGGGGGCAGAATTGAACACAGAGCTGAATTTCAATTTAACAGTTGGGTGGCGCGGCGTCGAAAGCGGTGAGCGACCCGGACTCTTTTCATTCCCATCGTGTAATAATTTCAACGGATATCAGAGAATGGAGCCCCTTTACGACTTTAGGGCCGAAGTTCGCGAGTGAATTAATTCAGCGCTAGTTGGGCTCATATTTAAATCACAGAGTTCTGCTGTTATTATTTACGCGGGTTTTAAAATATTTTTGTACACATTCTAATACATAGGTATACAATTTTATAATTTAACAAAATGGCCAAGTTAATTAAGAGCAAACTATAAGTATATCAGCATTTCTTTTTTCTGCGATCCCTTGAGCTACCTTGATACAAGTCGATGATGTATAGAAATATTCACTAAAATGTCTGAAGCCGTTTACGGCTTGTTTGATCTTTTGATATGAGTCATGCATTTGTGCTGCCAACAGTTCAAACAGTTGGGGAATTCGCTTCAACGGAAACGACTTGCGCCCACATTCGGTAGATGCCAATCTAAACGGGCATCCGGAATCCCGCATACGAGCGCGGGAACTTCATAAATCATGGCGACATTCCAGATCAATGTAGGTGCAGGGACACAATAGGATCACGATTAAACCAACATTATGACCGTCGTAGCTAAAACTAAAATACAAAATGTTACAATTAGAATACGGGAGCTCAAATGCCAGTGGACAGGACAAATAATACGAGGCATCGAAAAGTAGAACAGAACGATAGTGTTTTGGTACCCCAGAAATAGGAAAAGGAAATGAGGCGGACAGATTCGAAGGTGGGAAGACGAGGGAGAGACAGCAGGAAAATTATGGACAAGAAAAGCTCTAAGCCGAGTAGAGTGGAAAGTAATGGAGGAGGCCTTTACCAAAAGGCAAACAGACGAAGTTCGACCCAACCGAGTCGTTAACTTAAGTCTAAGAATTTGTAAATATTCTTTTGTGTCTGAATAAAGGCTATTATAAATTATTTAGTAAGACCGTAATCAGTTAACCATTATCGAAACAAACCTGCGGTCGATCGTATAGAGGAACCATTTGTCCGTATTAAAGACATTCTACTACTATTCAATAGACTATTCAATAGTTTCAAGACAACTTCTACAACAGTAACAAGGAAAAGAAAAACAAGTTGGTTGTCATTTATAGATCACCGCCACCCACAAACATCTCATCATCACTCCTATGTGGTACAGCAACAACAGCTTCGACGACAGCTACTTTCGGACGAATGGGCCAGCTCGTCCTAGAAAACCACCACGGCTTTACGGCCCCACGGTTAACGCGCCCAGACAACAAACGTAAAACGCAGCTCGAAAGCTTGTGTATCTCCAAAAAAAAAACAAATTTTAAATTTTTTTTGCACAGCAGAGACTAGCATTAAATATTAAATTAATCAAAAAATCAGCGAACCGATGAAGTTGTTCGTATTAGCAATTTTTATACTCCCTGATTGAAGTTTGACTTTAATAATTATAAAAATTGAAAAAAATAAAACTATTGATTTTAATTACGTTAGAATTAATGTAAGCGAATTAACGGCATCAAAGAATTGTCCTTAATAGGTTTCTACACTCTATGACATTCGGTATGCTTATCGATATAAATTTTCCTCTATATTATATACACATTTACCTAATTAACATCATTTACAAAAAGTTTCAATTGTGTTCCAGATAATAATACCAAATACTTCGAATCTATTCCCGTTTCCATACCGCCATGAAGCATTCTAAATTTGTCCGTTCATACAACAAATAGAACCATCGAAAGAAATAATTTAAAGACTTAACTTGGTCGTCGCGTTACACGCACGGCGTTTCATATTTGAACTGTAATTCGTGGAGCATAAGGCACGAAATAGGCTAATTTTAACGGGGCGTCCGATTCCAACCAACCCTAAAACGTCCCAAAGTCCGTTCGTAATTAGTTGCGACAGTTACATTGCCGGCTTAACACTGATTCATTGTGTGCTGGAGCGTCTTTTGTCTTACCAACGTATATTTACCCAGCGTAGCTGTTTTATGAACACATCCATATTAATTAAGTTCAACGAGTCCCTATTTTACTACCAGAAATGGCACCTGCTGGAATAACTTTCATTGTTCATTTCGAGTAGTCTATCAATAGCCTCGACATGTCTGTTTTATTCGATGTCTGTGGTGTGCTTATAGATTCAGGCAGATCGATAGGTACACGTGTTTATATAAAATTTGTTGATATAAAAACGTTAAAACATTAACAAAGCGCAGCTGATAACATTTTTACGTTCGTAACATAAGTATTGGCGTGAAATCGTAACCATCAACTTTAAAAATTTCCTATGCAATTATAAGATTCATTATTTGAGTTCACATTTGTAAAATAGTAAAATGGACAGATATTGTTTATATAAAATGTATTTAATTTTTTTTGTTCTAATTTAGCAGTAATGCAAAACCGATGTTTATACATGTTAATGGTCTACGGAAATGGATTTGGAGAAATGAAATCAGTCACTGCTTGATTGCGACTAATTCATTTAATTTTGTATTAGCATTATATACTACAGAATAGTGCTGTCATATATACTCGTACAAATACATAATTAATCAATATAAATTTGTGCTTAATTAATTATTATACCCTTACATCACAAAAAACCAGCCAAGTGCGAGTCGGACTCGTGCACGATGGGTTCCGTACATCATTATTATCTATATTAAAGTAATTGGTTAGTTCGTGCTAAAACTAAATAGTAGATTACTTACCAACCGCCTCGCGTTTGTTGTATGGTAGCCCCCTTAAATAATTTTATTTTCCTCTGTTTTTTAGTGTTTATTGTTATAGCGGCATAACAGAAATACATCATCTGTGAAAATTTCATATGTCTAACTATCACGCTTTATTGAGACGGTTGAAATACAACCTCCTGACAGACAGACAGACAGCGGAGTCTTAATAATAGGTTCCCATTATACCCTTTGTGTGCGGAACCCTAAAAATAGCATAAAAGTGAGAAGACACCCTCTGTGGCCTCCCTACCTCTTTGGGTGCTATCCGTGAGTGTTCCCGTATTACGCGGTGGACTCCAACGACACCAATCCCTCTATGCAGACAGCAGCATAAATCTCTTGCCACCAGTTGGAGCCTGTAGGTTATTTGCGAGATAATTTACCACACCGTCGCCGTAAAGGTGGGCCGATACCATTGCTGACGGCGACGCAAATAGAGGAGGCGACGGGGCCCTTGATGCTCCGCCCTCGAGGATTATTTATATCCGCCGTAGCTTTGTTACGGCGTGCTTGTCACGATCTCACAGAAGACCGGCGTGAACTAGAAGTGTTACACTTCTGCGTTTCGTCTGGTTAGGTAGCCGGGGCCCACTTTGTTGACAAGTGGCAACGCAACAGCAACCTAACGGGTGTTGCAAATGTCCAAGGGCGGCGGTTATCACTTAACACCAGGTGAACCGCCAGCTCGTTTGCTACTTTGTCACATTAACAAAAAATCAGTACACCTTTAAGAGTTAAATACAGACAGATTTCATACTTGGATGGAATGTTATACGAAATCTTATAAACACAAAGGAAACATTTTTTTCTCGAGTATCATTTCGTAATAAAACGAAACAGCGCCTCTTATGAAGAGAGACGCGAAAAGTACAAGAGCCGCTTCAAAAAAATGCAATGGAAAACATTTCTTTTTAAATTGCAGCTACGAATAATATATATTTCAAACGTTTATAATAATAAATGAGCAATGTTTGTAATAAGGCCATTGCTGTATTTATTTAGTTGCAAGATTTCAATGGTTTCAATTATTAAATTTTAGATAGCTATTTAGCAATATAACTATCTAAAATTGCGTAAATAAATTATGTTGCAAACATTGTCATGTTATAATATAACATGACAATGTGTGAAAAGCTCGCGGTAAAGGCCTCTTTTTAGTCAGTGAAATTCAAAATAAAAATATTTTTTAATCAATTTAACCTTTCGAACACTTAAAACGTGCCTTGCTAAACTGCTTGTCGAAATCGACAGCAAGCCACAAGCTCATAAAAAGCGTATTTACACATAAAAAAAGAAAAGTAACAGCCTATAAATTTCCCAATGATGGGCAAAGGCCTCCTCTGTACAGAGGGTATCAAGGCATAGTCGATATGCGACCCCACTGCGGCTTGGCGGACTTCACATGTCTTCGGAATATTTTTTTTGTTATTATTCCGAAAATATGCAGGTTTCTTCACTACGTTTTCCTTCACCGTGGATCACGTTTAATACGTGATATTTACTCATGCTACATCACTATCCACCAGTATTCACTCAATCAGATTGAGTAGATATGTACTGCTGACATGCACTGTGACATGTCAGCGGTACTTATCACACACACACACACACAGCGGAACACTAGTGGATGCTTTATCCAAAATCAAAAGCTGTCCAGAGACTAGTTAATCTCCCAATTGATTTTACCCAAAAGATACCTATTTTTAAATCAGAAAAGCGAATTGGTGTCTCTAGCGTAGGGAATCTAAAGTCAACTCAATATTTCTTGGGTTCCTTACCCAAAGGGTAAAACCGTGCCCTGTCTGTCTGTATGCCTGTTTGTCCGTCTGTCACCAGGCTGTATCTCATGAACCGTAATAGTCGTAGTAGTAAATTTTCACAAATGATGTATTTCTATTGCCACTATAACAACAAATACTAAAAAAACAGAATAATTATGTAAAGTCACGGCAAAAAAAATCATATCTGTTGGATTGGAATACGACTGACATGATTTTAGACGTTAATTTTGCTATTAACTTACTAAATACAGAATAGAGACACATGCCATTACACACACAGATAAACGCAGATTGGACATATGACACGAACGTTCCCGATATCTTTTATACTGCAGGGCCTTTACTGACTTTAACATTTACGCTCCATTCCTCGTACTCCGTAAAAACTCAATTGGACCATGAACGTGTTAATTAGCTACGATAAAACGATTGGACGTAAAAACCCGTTAACAACGCGCGGCACGCGACACAAATGGAGAGAAAACAAATTCCATGTAGAAGCGATAAACAGTTTACAGAGTGTAATTTAATGGGATATACGAGTACATATAGCTTAACTCCATAAGAAATTTATGTCTTAGCTTATTATGAACCAGACCATTCATAAAACTAGCAACTCAAAAGACAAGTCGAATTTCTTAATTCAGTTAAAACTCGTTTCGAGCTTTTATGCTATCATAATTAACACTGGCTTCATGTAGCTGCTAAAAACTTACTTCAATAAAAAAGTTGCCTCTTCTTGTAACTGTTCAAAATTAAAGCAAATTCTCTACCAGATTTCTTTAAACGGTTCCAACCCACCAATAAGTACTTTTCACGGGTTGAGAGAGAGAGACAGGGAGAGAGGATAGAGAGCTTGAGGATAGACTGCAACAAACCACGATACTGAGCCACCTAGATCCATCGACTTCCCGAACATTTCCACAGGTCGTCACTCCATATAGTGCGCAATACGAGGCTGCCACCCGTCTTCCCCATCAGTACGTTCGCTATCGGTACTACGAGCTATATAGACGGCCTATTGCCTCTACAGCTTACCAATCTTCAGAGCTTTGCCAGTTACCTTTTTATACTGTAGATATCAGCCTTATTACAAACTCTGTCACCATTGTTATTCCTATCAGTCTTGTAGAAACTATCGCCTTCCTCATTGCGAATATCAACGTGCAACGTGCAACTTCATTTACCGTTCGCCATACACCTAGCAAGAATGAAAAAAGCTCGCCGAAACAATTGTCGCGGCGCGTCGCAACGAATTCAATTCCACTAATGCA